TTTACTGTTTAAGAATTCTAAGGCATGTTTATAGGTTCCATCAATCCACAGATATGAAAATACATCATTTAAACATGTAAAAATTCATAAAGGAATCAAATCAAATCCATGAATTTATCAATTCATAAAACAAGAACAAATATGAACCAAATTCATAAAATCTATGTTTTAATCCAATTAAACATGCATAATTAATTAGTTTTATGTGTTTGAGAAATCCTGGAATTTCTTAGGCATATATAGAAACACAAATCAAAGGGAGAGAGATAGAAGAAGAACTTGTCTTAAACTTTCGGATCGAAAGTTAAATTTCTTCTTCCTTGATCTTCTTCTCCTTCCTTCTTCTTCCCCCTTCTCTCTCTAACTCTTTCTCTAGAATATATTACGTGATATATTTTTAACCCCATTTTCCAACCTATAGTTATGTATTTATAGGTTAAATAATAATCATATTCCTTTTCCCAATCCAAGTCAACTTAATAAAGAAAATAAATAAAATTAAAATATTAAAAAGGTAACTTAAAATATGTTACGTATATAATCTATGTATATCCTTATTAAATAAATAAAATATATACATTAGATTATTTATTAACAGATTATTTAATAATACTTAAGTTACCATAATATCAAAAGGTAACTTAAAACATGATACGTATAAAATCTATATATATCCTTAATATATAAAATATACATCAGATTAAAAATTAATACTAAAGTTACCATAAAAGTAATTAATAAATTACTTTTCCTTTTATATATGTATATACATATATATCTATATATATACATATACAACTATCCATGGATAATTATTCATACCCATCAAACCTCTTATCCAAATAATCCATGGAATCTAATTGGTTGGCCATTACTACTAACCATAACCATAAAATAAAATAAAATATTTAATCATTTAATCTACAATTAAGTACAATTAATCAAACACATCATTTAAGTACACAATCAAATAAACAAATAATACAAATAGTCAATTAATCAAGTAACACTTAATTTAATTAAACACATAAGCAATTGATCAAATAATCAATTAAACAATTAAAAACATAATTAAAACAAATAAATAAATACCGATACTATTTTTTTAAAATTAGGAGTATTACAGAGTTTAAGGTGCTCATAGGCAAGGCTTGCTGTGACGGTTTTGACCAGTTCAAAGCCGTTGTCAGCAAAGATCGTCCAGACATAGATTTTTCTATGTATGATATTCAAGTTGAGAGCGAAGAGGAAGATTGAGTTCCATAGTAATAGTTATATATATATATATATATATATATATATATATATATATATATTAGGTTTTTTACTTTCTTAGCATGTCGCTCCCTTAAAAACTTTTCAGAATTTCTCTTAATTTAGAAAATAGTTGTGTTGCTTTTGACATTTTGTCTTTCATGATGTTGCTCCATATTTATTATTTCTTTATGCGTAATTTCTTTTCTATTGATGCGGCTCTCCCTTTATGGTATTGAATACATCTTTCTTAAAGAAATATTCGAACACTTTTTCAGGCTTCACTCAGCCCGTCCTTCTTCTGAAGGAATGTGTTTTTACGAGCTTCACTCAGTTCGTCCCTTTAATAAGGGAATGTCAATTATTTCTTTTAATAAAGAAATGGACTTAACATTTTACTAGTACTTTAATAACTTATTAAAATCAATAGTAATATCGTCAGCAGTAGAAAAATGTGAAATAAAAACGAATAATTATTTTTATTAAAAAAACCTTATCGAAAATAATATTCGACAGTCGATCATCAGTATTCATTAAATACTGGTCCGCGTTATTGAAGCTAAAAACATATTATCACTTTAAAAGTGAGATCACATAAAAGTAAATAAAAAACTATAGCCTGGCATAAGTACTTACTGGTAATATTTCCTCAAATGTTTAACATTCTATGGGTGGGAAAGTTAGCTTCCACCAAGTGTCTTTAACCAATATGCCCCCGGTCTGTTACTCTGGGTTACTCAATAGGGGCCCTCCCAGTTGGGAGCTAACTTTCCTTCTCCCTTTTCCTTAGTAGCCGAGGTAATTTCGCGAAGCACCAGGTCTCCTGGCTCGAACCTCCTTAGCTTGACCCAAGCATTGTAGTACTTAGATACCATCCGCTGGTAAGCTGCAACCTTGACTTGGGTCTGCTCTCTTTTTTCTTCTACCAGGTTCAAGTTTAATCGCAGTTCCATCTCGTTCTGTTAAGGTTCAAAATACTTGGTTCTGAAGGTGGCAACTTTTGTCTCTACCGGGATCACCGCTTCACTTCCAAAAGCTAACCCAAAGGGGGTCTCCCCAGTGGGGGTTCTCACGGTAGTGCGATAGGCCCATAAAACTCCAGGTATCTTTTCAAGCCACAAGCCCTTGGCCTTTTTTAGGCACGTCTTGATCATCTTCAGTATCATCCTATTCGTGACCTCAACTTGCCCATTGGCTTGGGGATGGGCAGGAGAAGAGAAACGAATTTTGATCCCAAGCTCATTACAAAAATGATTGTATTGTTCACTATCAAACTACTTCCCATTATCTATCATAATCACCCTTGGTGCTCCGAACTTGCAGATTATTGCCTTCCAAAAAAATTCTTTACTTCATTCGCTCCAATATGAGCTAATGGCTCAGCCTCCACCCATTTGGTAAAGTAATCGATGGCCACAATTGCGTATTTAGTTTGTACCTTCCCTGGGGGTAAGGAGCCGATAAGGTCCGTTCCCAATTGGGCCAAAGGCCACAGCCCTGTAAGAGGAGTTAACTCTTTTGCGGGTCATTTTGGGACATTGGCGAATCTTTGGCACTTGTCACATTTTCTCACAAAATCAAGTGCATCTTTCTACATAGTAGGCCAAAAGTATCCTTGTCGGATAGCTTTATGCGTTAGTAATCTGCCCCCATCATGGTTTCCACAAAGGCCTTCATGTTTGTCCTTTAGAATGTAGTTTGCCTCATCAACGGAGACACAACGTAAGTAGGGTAGAGAAAATCCCTTCTTATAGAGAACCCCACCAATGAGGGAATATTTTGCTGCACGCATCCTGACCTTTTGTGTTTCTATGAGATCTTGGGGTAGCTCTTCGTTCTCTATGTACCTGATAATGGGTTCTGCCCATTCCATGCATTGGATCACCTGGTGTATTTTCTGTCGTCAATCCCAAACTGTGCTAGGCTCATCCAAATGTTCCACAGGTATGGCTTTATCTTCCTCTGCGGTTGCTAGTCGAGCTAGGGTGTCTGCCTGCTTATTATCTTCTCGGGGGATCCGATGAATGGAAAACTTCTTAAAACAACTCTTGATATCTTTTATCTTATGCAGATAGGTCTTCATCTTCTCATCCTTGGCTTCATATTCCCCCTGGACTTGTCCAGCTATCAGTTGAGAATTAGTTTACGCTATTAGTCGCTTGACTTCTAGGGCTTTAGCCATCTTGAGGTCGGCCAGGAGGGCCTCATATTCCGCCTAATTGATAGTTGCCTTAAATCCAAACCTGAGTGCGAATTTGATGCGTTCCCCCCCTGGGGAGAAAATTACTAGCCCTGCCTCACTTGCACGGGCATTGATTGACCCGTCTACATATAATGTCCAAGTAGATTCAGTTTTTTCTTACTCCTTTAAGCCATGCTTGTGCTCATCTTCTGGTATGAATTCTGCTATAACATCTGCCAGTACCTGAGCTTTTAAAGACGTTCTGGGTTTGTATTGGATATTGAATTCTCCAAGTTCTACCGACCACTTCGTGAGTCGCTCCGAAGTATCAGGTTTGAGGAGGACCCGCCTAAGTGGCTGGTCTGTCAATACTATAATTGTATGCGCTTGGAAGTAAGGCCTGAGTTTCCTTGCAGAGACAACTAGAGCAAATGCCAACTTTTCTATCCTTGGGTATCTCTCTTCTGCCCCCCTGAATGCACGGCTAGTATAATATACTGGTTTTTGGATTCCCTCATCTTCGCAGACTAAGGCTGAGCTTACTGCCGATGGAGAAACTGCTAAGTACAAAACAGCTGCTCTCCTTGCATCGCCCGTGATAGTAACGGTGGTGAAGTGAGATACTCCTTCAGCTCTGTAAAAGTTGGTCGCACTCAGGTGTCCATGAAAAAGCTTTCATGAGCACACGAAAAAAAAGGTAAACACCTATCAGTTGCCCTAGAAATTAACCTGTTCAAAGCAACGATTCTTCCCGTCAGTCTTTGAAGTTCCTTGGTCGATGCTGGAGACCGCATGTTGAGAATGGCCTAGATTTTCTCGGGGTTGGCCTCTATCCCTCTCCTGTTTACCATGTAACCAAAGAATTTCCCAAAGGAGACACCAAAGGCACATTTGCCTGGGTTGAGCTTCATTTGGTGTTTCCTGAGGACTTAGAATGTCTCTTGTAGATCATCTAGGTGGTCTTGAGCTTTCAAGCTTTTTACGAGTATGTTAGCCATATATACTTCCATATTCCTTCCGATTTGGTTTTTAAACATCAAGTTGACTAGCCGCTGGTATATTGCACCAGCATTTTTGAGCCCAAAAGACATCACCTTGTAGCAATATACACCTCTGTCCGTGATGAAAGATGTCTTCTCTCTGTCTGATGGATGCAATGAGATTTGGTTATACCCTGAATACGCATCCATGAAACTGAGCAATTCATGGCCAGCCATTCCTTCTACCAACATGTCGATTCTTGGCAGAGGGAAGCTGTCTTTGGGGCACGCCTTATTTAAATTGGTAAAATCTACGCACAACCTCCACTTTCCATTGGCCTTTTTACTAAAACAATATTGGCCAACTAGTCAGGGTAATTAACCTCTTGGATAAAATTAGCTTTCAGAAGCTTGTTCACCTCTTCTGATATAGCCATGTTCTTCTTTGTAACAAATGTTCTTCGTTTTTTCCTGACAGGTTTGAATGTGGGATCCGTGTTTAATCGATGCTCGATTGTAGCTGGATTAATACCAGGCATGTTTTCATGTGACCATGCGAACACATCTTGATTATGTCTGATGAATTATACAAGAACATTCGTGAGATCTGAGGGGAGCAGAGACCCTATACTCACTTTTTTTGTTACGTCATTGTCATTTAGGCATATCTCCACCAAGTCCTTAATTAGTTTGGCTCGGTCTCGCTCTTTTTCTTCAATTTCTTCAACAATCAAGGCCTTTTGTTGCTTCTTTTCTTTGAGAGATGTAACATAGCATTCTCTAGCAGTGGTATGGTCTCCTCTTAGTTCGCCTACGCTATGTTCTATGGGGAAGCGCATCAAGAGGTGATAAGTCGAAGTGATGGCCCTCATCGAGTTTAAAGTCGTCCTTCCTAGGATGATGTTATAAGCAGATGGACAATCCACCACCAGGAAGTCTACCATGACAGTAACTTGTTTTGGGCTGGTTCCTATAGTGACTGGAAGAATGACCGCTCCTAAAGGATAGACATTATCTACCAAGAATCCCACCAATGGTGACCTAGTAGGTCTGAGTTTCTCCTTACCAATCTTTATTTTGTCAAATACATCAAGGAAAATGATATCAGCCGAACTTCTATTATCAACCAAGATCCGTCGAATACTATAGTTAGCGATCATCATGGTGACAACGAAAGGGTTGTCATGGGGTTGTTGCACGTCCTTAATATCTTCATCTAAAATGTGATAACAGGCACCTAGACGAGGTATTTTTCGATGTTGAATCTGTACTCCAACTTCGCACACCTTAGATTAGCTTCGCATTCTCCTGGCATGGGTCTTACGCGCTGAGCTTGATTCCCTACCTCTTGCACATTCCCCGGCTATGAGCCTGATTTCTCCCATTGGTTGCTGATCAGGGGGGCGGTTATCTCGACCTGCTCTTGGTGGATTAGTGTCGGTTTTGTCATTCCCTACAGTGAACTTTCGTATGTGTCCCTTTCGGATCAAACTCTCAATCTGATCCTTAAGGTCGAAGCAATCCTCTGTGGCGTGCCCATGGTCTTTGTAGAGCCTACAGTACTTATCACGAGGTCTTCTCGTCAGATCCGACTTCAACTTTGGTGGCCACTTCAGATATGGTTCATCTTAGATTTGCAGGAAAACTTGATCTATTGGCATATTTAAAGGAGTGTAATTTGCATATGTGATACCCCTAATTTTGGAACACGGATTGATCAAGTCCGCGCACAAAATCAAGGGATATCAAAACAATTTAAGTATTTAACAAGCACAAAATACAAAGAAGAATAATAAAGAATAAATAAACCGCTGAAGAAAACTAATAAATAAATATTACTTAATGATTCTCCAACAATTACAATTCGGAAATCCCATAACTCAAGGACCCCTTAAAACATTATCCAATAATCCAATACTATTTAAAAGTACACAAGATGAATAGACGAATGACAGTCTCCCAGATGCGGATCCTCAACCTCGAGACTGGAACCTCTAATAACCTGAAAAATAAATCGTGGGTTAAACCCTACGAGCAAGTTCACTCTACCAGGCCTCTGAAAACTAATAAGCAGATCATCTCTGATCAAAACCAAACCTAATAAAGTTTTAACTTTAATAAAGCACGATATACATGTCTATATATAATTATATATACTATACTAATCACATCCATTAATAGGTTTATTAAATTTCCATACCTATTAAATAATTATTAAAATAATATTCATACCTAGACCAATCTACCATTTCATTTTATAAAAACTCCTTTGACCTTAATCCCATCCTAGTCAGTTGTTTAATCATTTAAACAACAAATTATAATAAAAGAAATACTCTATTTAATCCCAACCCGATAATGATTTTAATTGTTTAAATCACATATCCAAAACCCAAGTTTTGACAAATCATCCACGTCTTCCCCAATATTATTTTACTAATGTAAAATAATACACTAACCAGTAAGTACTAAACTATTCTCATTTAAGAATATCTAACCCTAATCCAATCCATACATACAACAACCATAGATGATATTTTAATCATCTAACACATAATAACGTAATTATGCTTTGGCAAATCAACCATGCCGTTACAAATATTTTTATTTATATATTGGCAATTCAACCATGCTTCCACAAGTATATATATTTATACATTGGCAATTCAACCATACCTCCATGTATATATATTTATACATTGGCAATTCAACCATGCCTCCACAGGTATATTTATTCATACATTTAATTAGCAATTCATCCATGCGTCCCATGTATGTATTATATTCATACAAATATTTATGTAATATTTTTAATCCTTTGGCAATTCATCCATGCCTACATCTTAACCATGAATCACTTGAAACTTAACAATACGCTAAATCATACATAACTATCTCATGCATATTATACGCACATTATTGATTTAATAATCAACCTATCAAGATACAACAAATAAGAATGATAATATTAATCATTTTAAATGATATATATTTATATATATACCTACACATATATTATTTAATATATATATGTGTGTTTAACACCTTCCTTAATAATCCTTAATTTTTTTAAAAAATCAATATACATATATGTATATATATATATATATATATATACATATATTCATCCTTCTATACAACTCATAAACGAATTAAACTATATACGCATATATAAATATATATATATATATATATATATATATATATATATATATATATATATATATATATATACCCACACACACTTCCCTCCATAATAAATTATTAATTTATTATATTTACACAAATTAATGCTACTAAATATGTCAGAAATAGTTTCCCCTAAATACTCCATACCGGTTTAAATAGTTTTCCGACACCGTCTCACTAAAACGTAAATATCTCTTATTAGGATGAGAATCTGATAATGAAATTAGTACCATTGGAAAGAGGACGAAAAATCCTTGAATTTGAGCTCAAGAATGACCCAATTTCGATTTAAAATGATTAAGTTATAACTGTTTCAAGTTTGAATAACAAAACAGGAATAATAATATGTTGAGCTCAATGGTTACTGTGAACGCAACCGCACTGGATTAAAGTATGACACGTGGCGTACTATGATTCACTGGTGCATCAACTCTGATGGTGCGCACCGCACCAGATCCTATTCCTTTGATCAGATCTAATCTAGGATCCCTTTATGTGGTGCACTGAGTCTCTATGGAACCGCAACACACCAAATCATCCTCCAATCATCAACTCCAACTCAATGGCCCAGATCAGTTTACCCACCAACTTACTGTATGCCGCGCCACATAGGATTATGATACCTTGTTCATACGCCGATACATAAGCCGTATATATAAAATATATAAATAGGGTATATATATATATTTCAAATAAATAAAGAAAATAAATCTAATAAATTCCTTTAAAAAAATAGAAAAATACCAGAAAAATTCCAGAAAATTACAGAAAATTCCCATAAATTCTAGAAACACTAATTAACCCTCTTGGGTCTAGATCTAGCCTATTGATTGATGTAAACAAAATATACAACACATATATACAACAATAAAAATCCAAAATTCTAAAAAATAAAATATAATAATTCATATTTTAAATATTCCGTTCTAACCATCATTTAATCAATAAATTTAACCTTAAATTTTGATACTTAACATGAAATCCTTATGAGTTCTAAGAGGAAAGTTAGAGAAGAACTCGCCTGAAGGTTTCGAAACGAAACCGACGCTTCAAGCTTTAATTATCTCTTCCAATTCCGACGTCCTCCTTTTCAGATCCGACCTCCTCATTGTCAGCCCTTCTTCTTCCTCTCTCTCTGTCTATTTTATTTTTCTAACGTGTAAAACCTTTAACCCTAAAGCTTTATGTGTATTTTATACACATTAAATTCCAAATCCTATTCCAGCTTGTATTATGAATTAAAATTATAACCTTTAAATAATTTATATCTATAAACATATATTATATTACATATATATATATATAAATATATATTCCTTCCATAATTAACCCATTAGTTAATTAAATCATATATACATATATATATCAATAAATATATATCTATATATATATTCCATAACAATTATTAATTAATTATATATATATATATATATATATATTTATAATTAATACAAAAAGTGATCATTTAAATAATTAAATAACCACGGGCCTTCATTAAATATCCTAATAAGGTTTCATACAAGCCCAAGACCACGTCTTTTGGTCCAACTTTCCTTAAACCCAATCCAATTAATTTAAATAAATAAGATAATTAATTAAATACTGAAATTAAAATAACTAATTACATGAAGTACATAAACAAACAAGAATTTACAACTAAGTCACACAATACCAATAAAATCAACACACTAATAATTCAATCAATAATCAACCACACAAACAATCAATCATCATACATAATCACGAAATATAACTTAATTAAAATAAGATAATTAATCTAGCACTCAATAAAATAAAATAAATCATTGAAGAATAAAATAAAGTAATTAGTCCTAATTAATTAATCCTTTAAAAATATCGGGGTATTACATTCTTCCCCCCTAACAAAAGGAATTCTGTCCTCGGAATTCACGAATCCATGAAATAAAAACTTTGATTATTTAATTTCAAATTTCATTATTCCTTTTATCCGTGTGGAAATTAACCCATCCACACATATTCATAACTAGCAGACACATCTCGTAATTAGCTAATTCCATATTTATATAATTGATAAATATAAATACACACTAGAGACTCTCACTGGATTAAAGCAGTCTCAACCGGATAGTGGGTATCTCATGTAAAACGTACACAAAGGTGGTCACGAGTCCTTCTACCAGAGCCCACATATCCTTAAATCCAGCTACCCATCTTAATCGGCAATATACGCCTCCATCCTAACCACTGATCCTAAGACTCAAGCTCATATCGTGGCACATAACTATATAATCCATTATATCCAAACATAAAAGTAAACTATCCAACCATATTATTTCAATGGCATGCCATCCAACTATTCCGTTGACCTGACACGAATAAGTAGGACTTAACTCTATGGTTAATCCGTTCCCTTATAAATATATAGGTAGGACTTAACTTCTTTGGTTAATCCGTCCCTGAAATGCCACCGTCTCATACCGGTGCATTAAACCATACAATCCATAAATAAATAGGTAGGACTTAACTATTCCGTTAATCCATCCCTAAAATACACAAATAAGTAGGACTTAACTTTTCCGTTAATCCGTCCCTAAAATACAACCATATTATTTTAATGGTGCATAAATCCATAAAATTCATAATTGATGCAACATATATAATTATACATCAAATAAGCCAGAAGTAAAGATAACAAGAATCCGACAAATACATGATTATATTATATGCCAATACATGATTAAAATCACGTAAATATACATTGAAATAACATTAAGCAACAAAATCCTCCATTCACCACAAATTAATTAAAATTTCAAATTGTTCAAGTCCTTAGCATATTAATGTATATTATGCATTATGAAATTTTAACCAGTTTATTTCAACCATGTAAATCACCTAATTTGATCTAAATAACCTTGGAACACCCCAATCCTCAAAACAGAACTTAAAACCCAATTCTGCAATTACATTTATTCTCCCTGAAAAATACTGAGTGTAGAAGTAATAACTTCCCACCATTCAGTTATCTACACTATCTCACATCTGTGTTTACTATGTAAACGTAAACTATCGATATTCGTAGTCTATGTCATTCAATCAGTTTCTACAATAAATATTGTCTCACTGATTTAGCAAACAATACTGGCACCTACGCTCTTGCCTCCTCAAATACCTTCCAAATCGATGTCCTACCGTTTGTAGATAAGACTAAACGATTTAACTATAGGACGCACTAACAGACCAAATTTAGAATACAAAGAATCCTAAACTTAAGCTCTAAGTAAAAGAGTACACAACGCGGAAGTCACACAACGAAAGACACCCTAGGGACACTTGAACCTGGAGTGCTCTGATACCAACTGTGATACCCCCTAATTTTGGAACACGGATTGATCAAGTCCGCGCACAAAATCAAGGGATATCAAAACAATTTAAGTATTTAACAAGCACAAAATACAAAGAAGAATAATAAAGAATAAATAAACCGCTGAAGAAAACTAATAAAATTCCAAAAAATAAAATATAATAATTCATATTTTAAATATTCCGTTCTAACCATCATTTAATCAATAAATTTAACCTTAAATTTTGATACTTAACATGAAATCTTTATGAGTTCTAAGAGGAAAGTTAGAGAAGAACTCGCCTGAAGGTTTCGAAACGAAACCGACGCTTCAAGCTTTAATTATCTCTTCCAATTCCGACGTCCTCCTTTTCAGATCCGACCTCCTCATTGTCAGCCCTTCTTCTTCCTCTCTCTCTGTCTATTTTATTTTTCTAACGTGTAAAACCTTTAACCCTAAAGCTTTATGTGTATTTTTATACACATTAAATTCCAAATCCTATTCCAACTTGTATTATGAATTAAAATTATAACCTTTAAATAATTTATATCTATAAACATATATTATATTACATATATATATATATATAAATATATATTCCTTCCATAATTAACCCATTAGTTAATTAAATCATATATACATATATATATCAATAAATATATATCTATATATATATTCCATAACAATTATTAATTAATTATATATATATATATATATATATTTATAATTAATACAAAAAGTGATCATTTAAATAATTAAATAACCACGGGCCTTCATTAAATATCCTAATAAGGTTTCATACAAGCCCAAGACCACGTCTTTTGGTCCAACTTTCCTTAAACCCAATCCAATTAATTTAAATAAATAAGATAATTAATTAAATACTGAAATTAAAATAACTAATTACATGAAGTACATAAACAAACAAGAATTTACAACTAAGTCACACAATACCAATAAAATCAACACACTAATAATTCAATCAATAATCAACCACACAAACAATCAATCATCATACATAATCACGAAATATAACTTAATTAAAATAAGATAATTAATCTAGCACTCAATAAAATAAAATAAATCATTGAAGAATAAAATAAAGTAATTAGTCCTAATTAATTAATCCTTTAAAAATATCGGGGTATTACAGCATACCTCTCCACACTCTTATAACGAGACATCCTTTCATTCTGGTTGGCCATGGGTTTCTTATACTTAGTTTCCTTTTCATCTTTAGTTGTCAAGGCTGGCCTTTTCTTGTCTGCCTTCTTATCATCCCCTTCTTTTCCCTTTCTCACAGTCATGGTATCTTCAGCATTCATGTGTTTTTGAGCTCGAACCAATAACTCGGCTATGTTGGCAGGGGGTTCCTTTGATAAAGAGAAGAGGAATCTCGAGGTTTAGCGTCCTCCCATAAAGGTGGTCAGGGCCACCTTGTCATTCGCTTCCTCCATCTGCAGCATCTCCGTGTTAAAACGACCAATGTAGTCTCGTAGTGACTCTTCCTTCTGCTGCTTCACCGTGAGAAAGTAGGTAGCCGGGCTTTTATGCCTCTGGCTAGCAATGAAATGGCCTACAAAGTGCTTACTCAATTCTTCAAAGGTTTTGATGGTCCCTGGCTTCAGCTTGTTGAACTATACCCGTGCTGATCCTTTGAGGGTCGTTGGGAAGGCCCTGCACATGATCTCATCCAGTATCGCATGCAGATGCATAAGCGCTTGAAAAGTCTCCAAGTGGTCAAGGGGATCTCTAGTTCCGTCAAAACTTTCAGTTGAGGGCATCTTAAATTTTCTCGGCAAGGGACATTTCATAACCGAGGGGCTGAACGACAAGTTGGTCTTCTGCACCAAACCATCTATGTCTGTAGTACCTTTCCCCTTCATGGTCTGCATCACATCCTCCATCTTCGCCTTGAGATCCTGCATCTCTAGGTCAAAATGGAAAAACTCCTCTGTCTTTTCAATGACTGTTATGTCTTCATGGGGTCGGGATAGAAGAGACGGGTGGATCACCTCTCTATGTCGGTTCCCCACCTGGCTTTGTTCCACTTCAGTCTCACTTCAGGAAGGATGATTATCCTGCTCCTCAAGATTCCCATTACCTCCGTTTGGATTCGAGAGATCTTGTCGTGGCAAGTTCTGTTGAACCGGTGGAACAAGATGTTGCAGGAGTGCTGCATTTTGCTGGATTAACTGGTCCATACCCTGATTCAGAGTTTGGACCTGTAGTTCCAACGCTGCAAGCCGTTCCTGGTCGTTTGGGACGTCTAGGTGTTCACCTTGACTAGATCCTTGCAACGATGTTCCTTCGGTAACCATACCGAACCGCAAATGCATATACCCAACTGAACAATATTTAAGGAAATCGTCGTTCCCACAGACGGCGTAAGTTGTTGGGGTTGAAATTCACCGCGATCTGGTATGACACCGTTTCCTGCAAAACAAAGACGGTTAAGTCAAACACTAGTGTGGTGCCGATCATAGACCCTCCGACGATCAAGTTAGTGGGGGTATCTAGAGAAAGAATTGCTATCGTAATAGTTCAAGTAGGATTTTTTGTGTATATCTTATTCCCGAGTTGTCTCATATTTATGGTTTCTTGTTGATATAGTTGGTTGAGTTTATTAAAGATTGGATTTATCTTTAATAACAACTTCCCTTATCCTTGTTAACTAAATAACGTCGTTCTTATTGTAGACTCTATCACCGTTCGAAAGTCGAAGAAGTCTGGCGGCTGGTTAACACTTACTTGCCTCTATCGTTAGGTCAAGGTAGGTTTATTTTTTCTTATTAGAACTTATGACTTTTAGGTGATGTATGAAGAATGTTGAACCTAGGCAATGAATGAAGAATATTGAAATTTTACTTTAATCTATTTGTCTATTTTTGTTTTTTAGGAGGTTAAATTTATGGTATTGTGAATTTTGAATATATATTAGGGTAAAGTGCATTAAACCCGCCTGAACTATTGGGGTATGTGCAAGAAACCCCCCTGAACTATAAAAGTTACAAAAAACCCCCTGAACTATTAGGGTATGTGCAAGAAACCCCCTTAAACTATAAAAGTTGCAAAAAACCCCCCTGAACTATTGGAGTATGTGCAAGAAACCCCCCTGAACTATATATTTTTTTGCAGTTTACCCCATCTTGACTGGAAGGGACGATGAAGCTGAGGAATTTGTGGTTGGGATTGTAGTGGTAGATGTTGTCTGAGGAGTGTTTGGATAAGCCAAGGAATCTATTGTTGGGATCAGTGGGTATCCTGTCATAGCTCCATCATAGCCGTTGCACCACCTGCCAGATCCGTCGACCATATATATCGCACTTCTTTGCACCATTGCGTCAACCCATTGCCGTCACCGCCTTGCCCGCCGTTCAGCTCACCTTGCTCGCCGGTCCATTCCACCGTCCATTCCAAGCTCGCCAGCCCATTCCGCTATCTCCATAGCCGAGCACACCGTCGTTCGTGTTTCGAGCACACAGTCGTCCACAGTTCACCGCCAAGCCCCCTTGTGCTTGCTGCCGCCTCCATAGTTCAGGGCCGAGTCAACCGAGCTCTCATCACAGCCGAGTCCTTCATGCACAAGATGCCATCATCCGAGACCGAGCCATCCCGCCGACCTCGGATTTCTTTGGTCTCTTCTCTTTCTTTCTCTAGCTCTCTGTTTTGGGTTGTGTTGGGTGAAAAACATCTTTTGGTAGGAAAAAAAAATGTAAGAAGTGTATAAGTTAAAACGACGCAGTGTGTTATAAGCGTAAACTGGTCTTTCAAAATTTTCGGTGCCGGAAGCTGATGTCATGGGGGTAAATTGCAACAAAATCATAGTTCAGGGGGTAAATTGCAACAAAATCATAGTTCAGGGGAGTTTTTTGTAGTTCAGGGGGGTTTCTTGCAAATGACCAATAGTTCAAGGGGGTAAATTATAACAAAGTCATAGTTCAAGGGAGTTTTTTTGTAGTTCAAGGGGGTTTCCTGCAAATGACCAATAGTTTAAGGGGGTAAATTGCAACAAAATCATAGTTCAAGGGGGTTTTTTGTAGTTCAGGGGGTTTTTTTGCAAATGACCAATAGTTCAAGAGGGTTTAATGCACTTTACCCTATACATTATTACATGGTCTTTGGTCAATAACTTAAATATTAAAATTTGATGCAGTACAAGCACATAAAATTGATTGGGGATTGTGCAACTCTGTCCAATCTTAATTTTTTTTCTACCTAAATTTTTGTTTATTGGTCTCAATTAAATCTTTTTGGGAGACCATAATATCCAAATCACTAATCAAATCCCTCCCTAAAGACATGATTCTGATCATATTGAATGGATTCTTGCACATTGTAACACACTAAATTAGTACGTCTATTTGGTGCCTTTATTTTCTTCTTTTTTTGATTCTATAGTCTTGTGAATTCCATGTTAGGAATTTTTATTAGTTTTTTTCTTGAACCATATCTAAAGTTGCATTTTTTCTTTTTAAAAAAATAAAAAATTCCTTTTTGATATTGCAGATGGCGGGAGTCGGCACTTTTTTTTTCAAGTAGAAGATCGAGGGTAAGCAACATATCTTATCTTCCTGAGGAATCATATTTAACATCTTGGTTTGCTTTCTGCCGAGTTTCTGTACAATGTGATGGATATGTTCGCCGTGGTATAATATTATCAACAACCCCCTTTTCATTAATGCACACCTTCAAAGATCAACGAAATTCCTCCTCATGCAACACAATGAGCATCGAAAAGTGACCTATATTGCGGAGACTAACAATAGCAATGTTAGGTTAAGAAAATTAAGATATGGATTATTCTCTACCCATATTCTTTCTAGTTGTGATGGCTTAGTTTTATTTCATCACGACAAGAACAAACTTCTACTTTGTGTTGCAAATCTTATTACCAAGCATTTACTTACCCTCCCTCCATTTCTAGAACCTATTTTATATCCTAATTCTTCTGTTTTAGTATATGATCATTCTATCAGGAGAAAGAAAGTTGCCCATATCTTTGTTGTTAACAACCATGAATATAAGTGTGCAATATTAACTGTGGGTGTTGAAACTGCGTGGAGGCTGATTTATACTAAACCTATTCCAAATACTAATCCGCTTTTCATCGATCATGCACTATTTGCTGGAGGATATCTTTATTGGACTTCTAGGGCTAATGCTGGTAGTTATCTTCTAGCTATGGATGTTGAAGCTGAAATAATGCACCAACTTCCACTTCCGACGTTGTTCAATAATAATAATTGTTGCGGATCATGTTTGGGAGGTTTGGGCATTGATCGATTTAAAGACCGGAGGAGACTGGACCACCCTTTTTTTAAAAGTTGACTTGAGAGGTCGACGTGGCATGCATATTGAAATGCTTCGGCGCAATAATTATTTAGCATGGTTTAGTATGTTTCCTATTGTCTGGTTAAAAAATGGAGAGTTGGTGATCTTTCGTTCTGAAAATCCGTATAGAAATTACATTGTTTATAACATCAAGACACCTGAAATTTCTTCATTTACAGGGGGGAAAAATGACGTATTATTTAGGAACTCCCATTACGCCCGTGTCAACGGCTTGGTTTCGTTGAAGGGATGCTAACTATCCTTTTATATCAACAGCTTGGTTCCATGTCGACAGCTTGGTCTGCAATTGCGAATTTGCTATATATCTCCGCTCCACCATCCAAGGCTTTTAAGCTAGATTGCTCATCAAAAGCAGGATAGAAGATTTACAAGCTATTGTTTCTGCTCAACCTTTTCCTTTGATATAAATATGGAATTTTTTAAATGTTTCTGAATTTAGATATGGTATTTTAGATGCTCTGAAGTTGTCCATGTCTTTCCTGTTGACTTTTTAAACCTTTTATTGAACTCTATTAATAGTAACTAATCCCCAATTTTTTTTTTCAAAAAATTTCTGTTTATGGTTACTAAAGGTGATTAACAAAGAAAATTACCTTCAAAATTCAATTGTACTCTATTCATAGTCTATACGCACTTATATATATATATATATATATATATATATATATATATATATATATATATTCATAGTCTATACGCACTTATATATATATATATATATATATATATATATATATTATTTGTTATAAATTCAAGAGAGATAAATATTGCTCAACACTTGATAATGTAAACTATTTTTTACTTTATTTTTTATTCACATATCATTTATAGAATTATCTATATATATATATATATATATATATATATATATATATATATATATACTATTATAAAAGTGTAAGGAATTTCTTAATATTTTTAATTTTTCTTTTCTTCATAAAATGTCTAATTAACTGTACCTAATTATTCA